ATGAAATACTTCTAACTGAACTGGTGAGAATAAAATAAAGACTAGACACAATGCAACATACAAGTACACAATCTTTATTCACAAATGTGGTATGTGTATTTGCTTGATTGATATGGGCAGTTGCTTCTACTGGAGATCTTCAACTGATCAGCTGAAATTATTTACCAGATTATCTGAACTCAACGTTTCCTATAATGCAGGTAAATTCAAGAACTTATAAGCAAAAGCAATGAAAAATATAGTATGTCAACCACACTCATTTCCAATATCCATTCCAGATAAAACCTTTAGCACAATGTCAGGGCTCAAAAGGTCAGTTGGAATATGAAAGACGTAATATCATAATATTCTTATTTTGAATCTTCACATTTGAGTAGTAGAAAGTATAACAAAATATATAGGTATAAAAAATCCTGTTTGTTTTGAATTTCGCGCAAAGCTTCATGAGGGCTTATCTGCACTAACCATCCCTAATTTAGCAGTGTAAGACTAGAGGGAAGGCAGCTAGTCATCACCACCCAACACCAACTTTTGGACTACTCTTTTACCAATAAATAGTGGAATTGACCCTCACATTATAATACCCTCATGGCTGAAAGGGCGAGCATATCTGGTGTGATAGGGATTCAAACCCACAGATTGTGAGTCGAGCGCCCTAACAACTTGGCCATGCCGGGCCTAAAAATCTCAACATAAAAAAAATATTTAGTATTGGTGTTACAAAAAAAAATATATACATAGAGGTACTTTATCAGATAGAAAATGATTCTGATTGCATAATTTAAATTAATAATGTTGAAATTCACAAATTGGAATATAAAACTTTTAATCGTACAATGATCAAAAACATTTACAATTATTGTTGAAAGGCAGGTACACAAAGTGTCATATTAAAACAGAGATGATTAAACATATGAAAAAAATAATGTACAATACATCCTATTTTTTAGATATAGGTGGCTGTTGCACTGCAGAGGTCATTGGTGGTCGCATTGGACCCATTGGCATCATTGGTGGACGCATACCTAAGAAAAGAAGTTAATATTTGATTAATTAACAATACTATTCCAAAATATTCAACAAGTTTAGACTGTTTAAATGGAAGAAAAGAAAGTAAAATGTTCTAAGTGAACAAGACCAACCCCATAAGTTTTAACATTTTATAATGATTAGCTACAATTATTGGATTTTTCAATACCATTACTCTTGACTATGACAAGTGTCCCATTTTAAGTGTTACTTCATAATTCACTTTGTTGCATCTAGGAACTGGTTGTTATATACTCATGACACCGCTCTAAAATAGAAAATTTGGAACAAGAAAAAGCACAAATACTTTCAGATCAGAAAGCATTATATATGAAATTCATTAATTCCACCCAGACATTTCCTTAAAACTAAATTAAACTTGTTTTCAGCCTATAAAAGTAGTAACTTAAATACACCATATTATAATGATTCACCACTGTATGTAGACTATCATAAGTATGACAAGTTTTCTTGAAGTTAACTAGTGCAAGTAGTTATGACTTACAATTAAAATATTCTTTTTTTATTACACTTCTAAATGACTAAAATGTAAGTACTGAAAACAGAAAAATAAATGAATAAAAATCATTATTTACAGAATGAAGAAAATTAATTAACATGATGAAGTGATTTATTGAGCATCTTTTTTATTCTACTATAACTTAATACTGTTTCATGCTTTGTTACTTTCTTGAAAGTTTTATGGAGTTCAGAAAAACAATTATTTAGTATAGGTTTGGTCTGGGAATACACGCAAAGCTACATGAGGGCTATCTGCACCAGCCATCCCTAATTTAGCAGTGAAAGACTAGAGGGAAGGCAGCTAGTCAGCATCACCCACTTCCAACTCTTGGGCTACTCTTTTACCAATAAATAGTGGGATTGACTGTCACATTATAACACTCACAGTTGAAAGGGTAAGCATGTTTGGCATGACAAGGATTCAATCCTGTGAACTGCAGATTGCAAGTCAAGCACCCTAACCACCAGGCCAAGCCAGGCATATTCAATATAGGGTTTAAATGTGTATTCACACTGTGGAAGAAAATGAATAAAAAACATACCTAAACATGTTAGTGGTGGTTTAGTTTTGTCCACATGAGTAGTATTAACTTTTGTTAATCCTTTTCCTCATTTATTCTTTAAAGCAAATTTAGTTTTTATATTCATAAATGAAATAATTATAAAGCATAAATATAGTTTTACTTTAGATTAACACAAAAGAAAAGGCAGTCTGCTGTTGAGGATATACCATCTATCAGATAAAATCCAAATGCTGATGTAAATCTAGTCAGCTGCTGTGGAAAATCAAATAAGGGTATGAAGCTCAGTGCTTACATCCACAATGTCTCAGCTTCCACTGCCTTTCACTGTCTATAGCTAGTTGTGGGAAAGCAGTTACCCTTAAATTTCTTGAAGTAGAAATGGAACTACCCTAATGTTTCCACTCATTAAACTCCCAACCTCCACCTTCACAAAAGGATATTAAATGGAACTACAAATTCTACCTTAAAAGTTCTTACTCCCAACCTCCTCCCTTTCTGTTGAAGATAGTCTATATTCAGTAGTGTAACACAGGAACGAGACAAGCCCATCTACTTGAAGTTAGTCTATATTCAGTGGTATAACACGGGGACAAGACAAGCCCATCTACTTGAAGTTAGTCTATATTCAGTAGTATAACACGGGAACAAGACAATCCCATCTTCCTGAAGTTAGTCTATATTCAGCAGTATAACACAGGAACAAGACAAGCCCATCTACTTGAAGTTAGTCTATATTTAGTAGTATAACACTGGAATGAGACAAGCCCGTATACATGAAGTTAATCTATATTCAGTATACCGGGATGGAAAGGCTAACTTCAAGTAGCTGGGCTTGTCTTGTTCCCATGTTATACATGAATAAAACTTCAAGAAAAAGAGAGGAGGTTAGGAGTAAGAACTTTAGAAGAACTTGGTTACATCAACATTATCACTTTGTGTCTCTCTTAATTCAAAATATATTTTTCTTCTTTCGAAGTGCTTCTCATAAACAGATATTTTGGTTTAGCATTGCTGTTGATTCATCAAGTAAATAATAGCCAAGAAGAAAGTACAGACAGTTTGCTGAAAATAACTTTCTTAAAATGACACAAGTGTAAAGATATGTAGTATAGAAGATTACTTAACCCGTTGCCTTACTATAAAGATATATAATATAGAAGATTACTTAACCCATTGCCTTACTATTTCTTTTTTTTTTAATCTTAAAACTTTGACCCAGTTATACTATTCTTTCTAAATAATGAACAACTCATAATATATAATGTAAAATATCTTATGTATGATGATAAAACAGTAAACTTAAATAATGATATTTATATACACAAACTGATTAAGAATAACTTTTTAAATAGTTATGATGACAAGGTAAAGTAACAGGGTTAAAGTCCATATTTTTCATAAACTTGAATGACAAATACTTATTTAGGCACCTTTAACCCTTGAATGCTACGAGTTTCCTTTACAGAAAACTACTGTCCAACACTGCCTAGGTAAATTTTCTGTTGATATAAGAAAAAAGAAGAAACTTTAATAAGGTATAACAATGAGAGCCCACTTACTGCTGTCATTTAATTATAAGTAGTACAATATAGATAGATTTACAGAGTTCTGTTTATATGTTTATTATTTCCAAAACTGTAATAAATTTACAATGTTATTGCTAATCAATGACAAGTCATGACAGATATTTTTTCATTCAATAACGTAAATCTCAGGTATTGTTCTAGAATATTAATGTTAGACCTAGTTTATAAAATTGTGTGGTAAAATGTTTTCACTAGTGACAAAAAGAACCCAGAAAATGCAATCATAAGCTAAGGTTTCGTTCTGCATATTAGTGTTGCTTTTTCATGCCTAAACTATTGAATTTTAAATCCATTACAATCAGAAACACACTAACGCCAGGGCACCTTATCACTCTCTTTATGATCAAATTGAACGAGCTTGCAATCATGTTGTACTCGTTATAGTTTCCATATTATAACTCTTAATACAGTATGTGTATCTTCACAAAATTTGGCAAACTTTCAGTAAATCTTACAGGTCTTTTGTACACAAAAAGTCAGAATTTTTAATGAAGTATTTTTAATAAAGATTTGTCCGTGAATATATAGTCTTTTTATTACTAGTCCGAGTGCAAAGTGATTTTCATATTAAAATTAAAAATACGTTTCTTCATCTCAAAAAATTTCAAACAATTTTTTTTCAGTAAAACTATATTTTCTGTTATTTTCTCTACTCTAACGCTATACATGTTTGGTCAATTTGACCAACCTCCTTACCACAACCACCATACACACACACAAATAAATAAATCTAAATTACCTTTTTTTCTCTCTAGAATGACTTCAAATTGTAATAGTATACATCTGTTTAAACTTAAATTTGTTTTATTGCCCTTTGAACCATGTCCAAATAATATTTGCACCATGTAAGTTGTAAATCATATGCACGGTATTGAATTATGCTACGCATGGACTTCTCATGAGCTGCTTGTGAGCATACCTTGTGAAAGATTATTTATTTTATCTTACCTAAAAAGTTTCCAATCTTTACATTTTAGCTACTTCTATAAAAATAAATAACGAATACACATGAAAAACAAGAAATAAAATACCTGATTCATTATTTATATTTTTTTATGCCTTCAACTGTCGATAACACTTAACCATACTTTTTTACACTAATGGTACTACTGCACTAAATAAATTTTTTTGGAAAATAAAATAATGCAACAAAAAACACAATAAACACATGCAATAAACAGACAATGTCCTATAACTATCAATTTTTTCGGCTTTCTATCTATGCAACAAACTCGTCGATGTGTTTCCCATTGGAATAAAGTTTGAACTGAAAGCAAAATTGTGAATATTCTGAACAGAAAACCACATGATATAATATGTCATTTGAAAGATTAAAACCTTGAGTTTCTATTTTTTATAAGTAATAAAGTATTAAAAGTGAGAGAAAATTACTGGCAATTTCTGAAAAAGAGGACGTGACAGGTAGGCATGGGAAGAGGGGTCTAAGTTTCTATTTTATTGTTGTGTAACTAAATAAGATTGAAGGCTATGAAAATTGTGCTTTGCCTGAGCAATGACAACATTATAAGTAATTTACCTTCATCAGTAACAGAAGTAATGTACAAGTTATCAATTTTGCCTATACAGCTAACATGAATATTTAAAATCAATTATGACTCATATGTTGATAACAGACTTAGAACATCTTGCACCATGTTTAGGCAATTATTTTACAACAAAAAGATACAAAAAATAACAACTCAAGAGCCCTTTCAATCTACAGTTATTGTGCAGATAATGTCACTTTTTGGTCTTTTCAGAATACAGCCAGTATAAAGTCTTCATTACATGTATTTGTTTGAACTACATTAATAACAAATAAAAGAATCTTGTCAATACCCATTTCAGTACGAAAGAGGACCTTACAAGTTAAACTGGATATCTAATGTTGTTTACTTTGAATACACAATGAAAAAGTTTAGATAATCTAAAATACACTGTTCTTAACCATATCCAGACTGATGAGCACGTTTCAGGTGTCAAATGCCCACCTAAACATCAAAACGTAACTAAAAATAATACTTCTATTTGTTTCAACATTGATTTTTTTTAGTTAACATTTTTTTTGCCAAATCCAAAGCTTAAGTTTATATTTGCTAAGAAACTATCATCCCTTAGCCACATGAATTTTTACTTCTCTTTCATCAGTGTTATTACAGTATCTGAATTCACACCACTTTATGACCTAACAGCATGTGATATAAAAAAAAAACCACTAATTAAACTCTGCTTTAGAAATAGCACTATGAAAAGTTTAAATACCGTTCAATAAAGCAAATTATAAACTATTTACTTCAATGTAAGCTGAATAAAGTGGTCTGAGAAGTAATCTCTGGTTTTGTGAAAAAGTGATTAGATGTATTCTCACAGAGAAGAACAATGGAATTTAGTGGGAAGTTTACAAGACTTAGAAGCAAACCACAGATTTGGAAAATCTTGTTGTTGTTTCACTGCTAACATTGTTTTCATTACTAAAAATATGTTTGTATTAAATTATATTCTATGACAAATAAGCATAGTTAGGTTTAGAGTACAGTATGCAACAGTAAAATACTGCAATGATCAAATCCTTACTTATTGAAAATAATGTATATATTTTTTTTTAGATACAAGTTTATCTGAACCAAGAATATTTCAAGCAAATATACTATCATGCAGTCCAATCTGCTACTACTGTGACAGGTTGGGTCGTAGGTCACAATTTTGCCACTTTTTGGAGTTTTTATAATATATAGCCAGAAGTGGGGGTCACTGCAAAATAAATATGAGGGAAATTTCGAAGTCAAAGGAAGTATTTTAATTTTTTTCCTCAAAACAGTCTCTCAATAAAATTTTGGCAATTTCATAACATTGGAAATTAATTGAAAAACTAAATCATATTACATGGTTTTTTGAAAGCTGAAACTAAGTTTTATTAAGTATTTCAATTGTGAAGAAAAAAAAAAAATCATGGGAAGTCTAACTCACCACAAAACACAAAGTCTGAAATTGGTTAATATGCAAATGTTAGAAATAGAACTAGCTTACCTGGCATCATCATGTTTGGATGAACTGGCCCGTGTGGCCCCATAACTGGCATAGGACCTCCCATTGGTCCCATCATGGGACCAACTGGCGGTGGACCCACTAGAGACATTCTTTGATTTGGTCCAGGAGTTCGAGCATTGTTTCCTAAAAATAATTTATAACGTACAGTAATGTACATAAACAAATACTTCGTTAAAAACATACAAGTTGATAACAGTAAGAATCTCTCATTTTCATTTTATCACTATTTGTTAACACACTTAAAAACTGCTTTAAAAACTGTTACATACCATTATCAAAAATTAGTAGATAGGCTATAAGCCGTTTGTGTGATGATCTGATGAAAACTTTAATACTGCACAACTTCTCACATCACATCTTTAATGTAACAACGAATGATGTATTTGTTACTTCTAATGCTGCAGTTGTGACACGATAATTTAATCTTGCCATTCATTCAATTTCAAATTTATGTTATTCATAAGTGATTTTTCAGTGATTTTTTTTTAAGTTTCCAAACCCAGTTATAAATTTAACTGCATTCTAGTGAATTTGATTACTTGCTTAGCCTAAATCAAAAATTTAGATAAGAAACAGAGCACAATAGAAACCTTATCCCAATTAGCCATATAAAAATTATTAAGTAAAAAACTGAGTAAGGCTTTCCATTTCTGAAACTAAACGGTATCAGATGTCACATTATAACTTAAAGAAACTGCAGACCAATCCTATTACATATAACAATCACTTGGAATTTCAAATAAACATGAATAAATAAGTCATGACAACAAGCAATCATAAAATAACAACTGCAGTTTGTAAAAACAGGCACACATTAACTTTTATTTTGAAAACAAAAAAGTGTAATGCTTTGAAAAGCAATAGGCTTCTTTATCAAAAGATCTAACAAAAACTTGAACTTGAAATATAATGTGGTAAATTATAAATAAACTAGTAGCATTATGAAGACAATACTTGACTTTAAAACATTACTGTTTATCCACTAATGGTTTTAACATTTAAGGATTATAACATAGCAAAGAATTGTGGACTGAAAAAATATCATTGTTTCTTTTCAGAATAATGGTAATATTGTCAAAATGTGTGTTCAAATACAATTAGTGATGAACTAATCTCAGAACAA